TAAATATATATAATACTGATTTTTTCTGTGTTGGTGTAATGTGCTCAGGTGAATATGATGCTTGTGGTGTTAATCTGAGCGTATATCCACACCGGGTAAGCTTGAAAAATATGTCTGTCCACGGTGGGAATCGAACCTACGACCTTTGGAATATAGTAGCCCAATGCTCGGCCAACTAAGCTACGTTGTCAGGTCGGTTCGAGTACGTGATATTTCGGAACAGAATCTAGTTCCTTCGATATCAATGTTATCTAGTAATCATGATTTTTTTTCTGTGTTGGTGTAATGTACTCAGGTGAATATGATGCTTGTGATGTTACTCTGAGCGTATATCCACACCGGATAAGCTTGAAAAATATGCCTGTCCACGGTGGGAACGTTCCACGGTCCACATTGATATGAAAAGAACTAGATCCTGTTCCGAAATAGCCCGCGTGCAGGCCCAAGGGAACTGATAGTGGGCCTGCAAGCAAGGCCCGGTATTTTGTAAAACGCCCCTTTTCATTACACGCCCCATTCGCGCGTCAATTGTCAAAAAAGAACCAATATTAAATGACAGCACCCAAATATTAACAAACAAATGTTGCGGCGTTTTCTCTGCTTATTCAGAACATAAACAATGTGTAAATGGCTGCGTTTTAACTCCAAAAAAGCAAGCAACGCAGTCAGTAATTGCCAAATTTGCTAGTGCTCATTTTCAACTAAAATCAGAACAGGCAAATTAGGACGAATTTGAACAGAAAACCAGTCTCAAACTTCAATTCGTGAGGGAAGTCGTGCGACCACATTAGCATTTATAATGCGTGCTTCGCTGTCGCCATTGTTATAAATAAATTGTCTCACTTATCAGATCGTGTGTGCAATTCTTGTTGGCGGCGGAAAGTACGAAATTTATTTCAGTTATTTCATTTGGTAAAGAACTCTACAAAAGAAGAGAGCGTTCAGAGTCCAGATCGTTTCGTTTCAAACGGCAATTTAATACCGTCTTCTGTTTCGCTCTCTCAGCGAAGCCTTGTAAATAGCAAAGTGTTTCGAATAGGCTTACTGTACATGCAACTGCATCTCAACATCAACCAAAAGATCATTTTCTTGAGGAACATATAACGTATCAAGTCTGTTTGAAATTAAAGGCTGTGTGGTAAAGGTTACTATAGTTTACCCCAGTCGTAATGTTGCTATTCCAACACCTCACGACAAGCAATCCCCATTGGCAAAACGGCAAAAATATCTCTTCCTTCAAGTAAACAAGAAACAGTCTGTTCTTGTTCCATTTGTAATCGAAAAAAGTGATCAATTTTCGAATTTTATCGAGATTTATCGGGAGCCTTTGTGATGAATCACTGACCTAATTATAGAATCCAACAGCAAACAGCCAATCAGAATGCCGCGTTCGTGGGCGAACGCGGGAAGTACAAAATACCGGGCCTTGCTTACAGGCCCCTATCAGTTCCCTTGGGCCTGCACGCGGGCTAGTTCCGAAATATCACATAGTATTACTTGAACCGACCTGACCGCGTAGCTCCGTTGGCAGAGCATTGGGCTAGTATTCCAAAGGTCGTAGTTTCGATTCCCACCGTGGACAGGCATACTTTTCAAGCTTATCCGGTGTGGATATACACTCAGAGTAACATCACAAGCATCATATTCACCTGAGTACAGCACACCAACATAGAAAAAAATCATGATTACTAGATTACATTGATATCGAAGAAACTAGATTCTGTTCCGAAATATCACATACTCGAACCGACCTGACCACGTAGCTTAGTTGGCAGAGGATTGGGCTAGTATTCCAAAGGTCGTAGGTTCGATTCCCATCGCGGACAGACATATTTTTCAAGCTTACCCGATATGGATACACACTCAAAGTAACATCACAAGCATCATATATATACTTCCGTTTGTGGAAACATCACATAAATTTATTACTGCAAAGCTTTCGATCCGTAAGCCCGGATCTTCATCGGTGAATAATATGTGACTTGTTCAATTCATACGCCTTTTTTATATATAAAGTGCCGTGATCTGATGGCTCGCGTCATTTGAAATTTTATCCCATACCTGTGTTAAAAGCGGCTTTCTGATTGGTTTAGAGCAGGTGAGCTTGTCGTCGAGCTCACCTGCTTTTTGCCGAACTCACCTGTTTTTCGCCCGAGCTCACCCGCTAACCTGCTTACGTTGCAATAACAATAACAAATATGGCGGACAAGATTTAGACGATAAACCTAAACTTTAAAGAACTTTTATCGGTGACTAACATACTGAGACTAAAGAAAAACCAAAGAAAAAATGCAGTAAAGGTAATGTAGACGTAGATAAAGAAGTATTTTCTTGCCCAGTGATTTTTTTGGCCGGGAAAATGTTCACAAAACATCGACGAATATATCGGGAAGAGCTACAAATGTGTGTATGGCTCGGTGTATGGGATAAAAACCAAACGTACTTGCAGGTTCGGTGAGTCCGGGATTGGACGCACCTCGGGTGGCTGGAAGTTTCCCGAACTCACCTCGCTTCGCTCGGTAAGTTCGGGAAACTTCCAACCA